GTGTGGCAATTGGAAAGAGTTGGTTGTTCAGGACCCATTAATTTCTACCGGCACTTGTAGGCATAACCGGCTCTGTAGCCACTGCGCCGTGAGTCTGAGATCTATATGCTATTGTTGCATTAAGTGCAACGTGCCCCCTGTCGAACGCCCATTCCCTGGGAAGTTTATAACAGTGTTAATGATATGGTGTGTCTATAGCTTAGCATTCAAACTTATACAGAGATAAACATCGTCGACAGTGAAGTCGAGTTCCGGGAGATGGCGATAAGGCTGGTTAGTAGTGAAGATGATGATCAAATTAACTTGTTTTTCAATTTAAACATATATTGTGTTTTAAAATATAGCTTATTATCATAACAATACATCCTTATGTAATACATTATTATTGTCATTAATTATCAAATATCAATAAAATTTTCAAATAAATACAACCTTTTGTTACAATAATTATAATCACATTTTTTGTTACAATTATTATAATCACATTTTTACATTATGTAGTATTTAAAATTCTACATCTTTTGTTGCAATTATTGTAATCACATTTTTTTGTTACAATTTTTATAATCACATTTATTTATGTTTGGTTACCATGTTAACCATTGGTTAGGCTTGTAAGGCTTGGTAAGGCTTAGCTAGGCTTGGTTAGGCTTGGCTAGCCTTGGTAAGGCATCGCCTCTATTGTGGGGCCAACCGCATTGTGGGGCCTGTGGTTAGTCTTGGTAAGGTTTAGTTACTATGACAACCATTGTGTAGGCTTGGTAAGGCTTAGCTAGCCTTAGTAAGGCATTGCCGCCATTGTGGGTCCAGTGATGACAGGGTCCAGTGATGGGTCTACTACTGACATTATTTTCAAAGTATTTACAATATTGATATGAATAATGTTCAAAATATAGTAATGTAATTGCTATAGTTAATTTAATTATTTTGTATATAGATTTATTGTATTATCCATAATAAATCAGAATTATATAAAATATATTAATAAAATTATCTCGCAGTCAATATTTGAATACATTTTTTAATACTGTATTAGTAAAACAAATATTGCTAAACAAGACTGATGATGCTTGAATTTACGCTTATACTGTATATTCTATTTTATTATGGTGTACACAACAATGCTAAATACATTAAACATTGTACACAATTCGAAAAGAGAAAAGGTTAGACTCTATGTTAATTTGCCTAAAAAAATAATTTTAATTTAACCTTACGTTAAAAAGTAACGTAGATTGTATAGAAGCCGATCTAGTTTGATTTCATAAAACAAATCACCTTGGAATAGTAAATATTTTATAAATGCTAGTCACCTTCATTAGATCTAGACACCGTCACAATATATTCGTTCGGTATTGTTAACGTCGGTTTAAGTCATCACTTCTTAAAATAATTTTATGCATATAATTAAAGCTAAATAATGAACGAATTAGATCATGTTTAAAAAGATTTGTTAGCAAATACCAAAATTAAAATTGGCAGTTAATTACACAAAAAGTTATTTAATACCGCAATTTGCAACTAGAATTCTATGCTATAATGCTTGAATAACTCTATCTAGCTTATCTAGCTAGATAATAGAGCGACCTCTTCTATCTTGAACTACAACCGAATTTGTATTCAATTAAATAATCACTTTTATCGATAACAAGTGTCGCCAATGTATACATTATTGGATAATTTACGCATGATACATTAACGCTATAAACTCTTAATCACAACTAGATCACAAATCATTCAAATAGACTACAATTAAAAACAAATTAATAAAACTTTATTTAGCTTTATATTTAAAAAAACACAATTTATGAGTTGTAAACAATGCCCCCATCGGTGACCAGATTAGCGCCGGTAATGAACTGGGCGTCAGTCGAGGCCAAGAATACGACACCTTTGGCCACATCTATGGGCTGACCGATGCGTTTGAGGGGTGTGTGTGCGGCCGCGTCCGCCAACTCAGCGGGTGTCGAGTGATGCTTAAGATTTTCGGTTAGTATCCAACCGGGGCTATAATGTTATCACATTTATCATGGTTAAATAATAAATAAAAATTAACACAATTAAGCTATTACTTGATAGCGTTCACACGTATTTTCGGACCCAGTTCAATGGCCAGCGCTCGGGTGGCAAAGTCTAGAGCAACTTTAGATACACCATAAGGTATCGATGCCTTACCCTAATAAATTTAAATGATTCCTTGTAAATAACAAGTCACCTTGATCATTTAAAGTGTCAGCGAATGTGCTTATGGGCAGCACTTGCATACCGGAAGTGACGACCAGATACTGGATGTGCTAATTATGGTTCCGTTAGTCTTTTCCAGATGAGGCACAGCCAGGTGTATGAGCTGGAGTCCAGCCCTAGTGTTTAGGTTGATTAGTGTGTCGAACACCTCAATGAAATTGGCGTCGCGTATATGTGTGGATAGGGAGGCGCCCGCGTTGTTGACCAACACATCCAGTTTGCCAAAAGTCTTGATCGTTTCGCTGACCAACTTTTCCAGATCAGCCGTCTTAAGCAGATCCGCCGCAACGCCTAATGGCTAGTAATTAATACCGTAATGGGTTGAAATAGTTATCATAATGGTTTGTATAAGAAACATAAATGATTAATACTACAAATTGTCAATAAGAACAAAAACCAATTGAAACTATTTTTCAATAGTGGTCACTATTTTCAAACATGTTTTTCTCATTAATGTTTGAAAAATGTTAAATAATTTAATGATTTATATTAATTACCACGAGTCCGGTGGGCGACAGTTTCTGCGCCTCCTGTACCACGCGCTTGATTTCGACCTCGTTTTTACCGGTGATGACAACGTGCGCGCCCAACGCCGAGAACAGTTTGGCCACACTCTCGCCGATTCCCGAATTAGATCCGGTGATCAAAACCACTTTTCCCGTGAAGTTTCTCGAGTTTCTCACTTGTGTGTAGTCGTCGTCCGCCGACAAGTCATAGTAGATGTCGGCCGCAGACATACAGACAACTGTCGCTATTATTATCGATTTGAATATCATGTTTGCAATAATTATTCTCAATAACAACTATAAAGTGTTGTGTAAATTGTTTAGTTAAATATTTAATTAGTTTTCCACTATTTATACAATTTCAAGAACTATTATTTAAGCTTAAATTAATTATGTGTTTGTGTGGAAACTTAGCATGTGGTGAATTTATTAGTTTGGCATAAAGTAATTGTTATTTTAATCTAGATAATTGGTAACCTTAACCAAAATGTGCATAATAAATAAAATAAATAGCACTAAAAGATACCTGGTGATATCATGAATAGCTGGTAGTATTAACCAATACTAGTTTATTCATTGTAAATACTCATCATGGGAATTTAGCATTTGTTACAATTTTTATTTATACAATATCTGCCGATTTGTTTGTATAATGGTATACAACTCACTAGATTTCATAATAATGTACTTTTAGGTAGGATAATGAATTTATCTGGAACATTTAATCGCAAATTTTATCTAATTCATTTTGTTTTACATTAGGACACAGTGAAAGTTCATATTATTCAACTACATATTTTTATTAAGCAACCCTGTATAATCCGGACGAAAAATACAAATAAGATACTAAATTATTTACACAAAAATGTCTAGTCTACCATGAATTAAAACGGAAATTGATGGTCATTTATTATTTTTATGTTGCATTTACAGTACAACATAATAACAACATTATAAACTAACATTATATATTAACTATACGACCGATGCATGCAATTAATTTGTAAATGTGATTAAAGTACACGAATTAACCGTTATAAAATAACACAAGAGACTAGTATGGTTAAATTACAGTGTATCTACACATACCGAGTTCATTCAAACTTAATTAATGTTTGACAATCATTTTGGACAAAACACAAGTCTATGGTTTACATCACTATTGACTGAATATTGAATTAATGTAATTTAGTATTACATCCGCATATAAAACTTCAATGACTGTTAATGTGATTCCTATTGAGTGATACAAATAGTTTGTCAGTTTGTCTGTCCATATGTGCTGTCAACCAATTATTAGTTATATTATATAACTTATATATAATTTGGTTTTTATCACTCAATCGCTGGACACTCGATGGCCGTCATGAGAGAGAGAGAGAGAGAGAGAGAGAGAGAGAGAATTCCTAACTATATTATTCAGTAATCCTCACAATTCTAATGCCATTTTACAACAAATACAAAAAAGAGATTAATATTGGTATTATGAATAATGTATAAGAATTGTACCATTCATTTTGTAAATGATGTAAAATGTAATGTATTATACATTTGTATCTTTATATTTTAGCGATAAATAAAAACTGGAATCCAGAATAAAAATTCATTGTAAGAAAATATATACAAGGGAAAAGGGAAAAATAACAAATTTTCATAATAATCACATTCATTACACAATCACACAATTATTGATCCGTAAGACTTATGTCTGTTATTGTAAATATTCATCACTTTATATATGTTTTATGTGCAAAGCATAAGACAATTATTTCTATACTATTAACAAACACACGACTCAATCAATCTCTCTATTAATGGAAACCTATATAAACAATGTTTAGATTCGAGTTTCGGAGTATTTCTATTGTTTCCGATATTAAGTCTAGAAAAATAAGATAAATTATGTCCATAGAAATTTATGTTATAATAATACCAACTGTGAACATGTTAGTACACTCAAAATAACATAGTTTATGTTGGTTAATTTATATTTTTTGCAATTCACACATGTG